ATTCGATTGCTAAATATGTATACATGTGTGTGTGTTGGCTGTGTGTGAAATGTTTGCGGCTGATTGCGGTTCTTAATTTGCTTTAAGATATTGTACTTTGGTTTTGTCATCTCGTTTTCATATGATAAGTGCTCTACACTGAGCAAAAAAGTCAACTGAATGTGACTGAAGTGTGCATTGCATTTCAAGCTTTAAAATGCTGAACTCGAACTTGCATTGATAATGAGTGCTTGAGCTGTTAAGATTTGAGTATAAAATTGAATGAGCTAGTGAAATATATATATTATTAGTAGATAAGAATATGTATGGTTATAATGGAGTATAAATTTCTTATATAAAAAGCAAATATTCTTAAGTGAGTAAAATCATAATTTTTGTTGTACAGAATATGAGTTCCTATAAAGTGATTAAGATTTTAGCTACGTTTATTCTTAGAAATGTTTACCGAAATTAATTATGAAATTAAGGTGCTTCATCATATTTAATTTATTTCAATTGTCTGATAATGGGTAAGCAAACTTGGCGCTTGTTGAAACAGTTTCAATTCATGGTTAGACAAATATTTTGTCGTTCTCATTGGCTTGCTTTGCTTTTTCCGCATAATAGAATTTGTGACAGTTGGCACAGGCACAGCCCCATACACGGATTGCATCTCAAGTTGTGGCATTTACATATCTCAGTTGTCTTATGACTGTGTTGTCTCTCTGTTGCTGCTGCTGCTGCTGCTGCTGCTGTTGCTGGTGTAGACAACATTACGCATACGCAATGTTGTACGGGCAGTGCTAGCAACGTTTGTTGCACTGCCTCAGCATGCAGGATAAGCTGCATACACAGAATATCGTTGTTGCTGCTGCTATTGCACCCCTTAGAGACGACACATGCGAGCGTTCTGGCAGCGCTCCCCCGCCCTGGGGTCGCGCCTTTTCGAGTGTTAATTGTCGTATGCAAATTTTTGCGCATCCACAAAATGTAACAAAACACGATTTTGAAAGATGCAAATTGGGTGTTGCTGTTGTTGTTGCTGCTGCTGTTGGTGAGTCCAGTGAGTGTCAAAATAAGCTTTAAATTACGACGTTGTTGCCGCTCTAGGCTGCAGGCTGCAGGCTGCAGCCACCAGCTCCAGCTCCAGCCCTAGCCAGAAACGTGCGGCGTAATTTGCAACTGACAAGAGTGAAAGTTATGCGAAGGGGCTGCCAAAAGCTGGCACGGGCCAGGGCCACGGCCAGGGCTAGGGCCCGGATTGAGGCCGCCCGCACAGCCGACCGCACGTCTGCCCGCTAGCTGTAACAAAATGTCACTTTTGGCCAGGATGCGCCAGGAGGTTGGGTTGAGCTGAACTGGACTGTACTAGACTGGACTGGCCTGGCTTGGCGTGGCCTGCTCTGCTCTGGACTGAACAAGCCAGGACTGACTTGGACAGGCCGCATGCGTGATTGTGACATTTGATTAGGTTGCCTTTGTCGAAATGTTAATTTTTGCATTGAAGGTGTCAGGACACAAGACCTTGTATCTCTCTCCCTCGCTCTCCTGCACTCTCTCGCTTCCGTTTGGCTAGCCTCAATTGCGAAACATTGTTTAGTGTGGCAAGTTGGCCGAAACTCTCAGATAATTATCGATTGTTCAAGCAATTTTAAATTCCAAATGCTTGCCACATGCCAAATGCCACACACCACAGAAGGCAGCTGCAACTAATAAAACAAACAAGAGTAAATTTCCATTTCGAATGCGAAGCGTCATTTGCAAATTGAGACAAATTGCGGCTCAGCATTTACTTAAGGCAATCTCACTTATTACAAAATTGACAAAAGACAAACGCATAATTGCCATATAATAATCATAATCCGCACAAAGCAAACACGTTCAGCACTTCCCCTGCCAAAAATTTCAATAGACGTCTGCATGCCCCACACACACACACACACACAGGCAGCACACACTCTGGCACAGACATTCAAATCCACATAGACATAAGGCGTGTCTGGGACTCTTCTTCAACTTGGCCACTAATTAAGAAGACAAACTGTAAGCTCTGCATACATATTCATATATATTATATATATATATATGTATATATATATATATAAATACATATATATATATATTTTTAAGCACGAACTTGCTTCAAGGATTTTCACTCTGGACAGAACGCTTTGCTATGCAGTTGCATTGGCTTACTTAGCTTCTATTGATGTTAACCCACAATTGAAGTCAATTTAAAACGCTTGATTCAAACATGCGCAAGGACTAAGCAAATGCGGCCTACAGTTTAACTCGCTGACTAATATTTGCATATTCATATTTATAATTTAGCCTTTCTGTGCAGCTTAAAATATACATATACAAAATATACAAACTAACATATTTTAAGTTTAAGGCAATTGCTCTTCATAAAGTAACTGTGCTTAAATTTGTAACTATTTCAATGGGTATTTATTAGTAACTAATTAACTAGGCCCTGATATTACTAAACATTAGCCACATAACTAGACATAGTTGAGGTGGTATAATCTGTTCTTTTTAAAGTTACGAAAGCTTATATCATAATGGTATAAAAACATATAATTTTAATATCAGTAAAATAATCTTTGTTGGATAGAAAATTTGATGTTATTAATATAATGTTGACAATAACGAATTTCAGCAATTTGCAAGCGTTGCTTTAGTATAAATCTTTAGTATAAATCTGACTCAACTAAAGACAACCTTCAGTTGTTAAATGGGTTGTAAAATAAAGCAGTGTTGGCGACTCCAAATTGTCAGACTCTAAAATAAACATGCCTTTCTTTTTATTACACACTTTTACTAAATTGAAGTTGATTTATATTTACTTTAATATTACAAAATTGAAACATATACTAAATATTATAGGAGAAGCTTCCTTAATTTAAGCTGCGTTCAAAATAAATTCATTCTAATCGCTTAAATAAATACCTCATGAATAACTGATGTGAGCATAAAAAGGATGCACAGACGCACACACACACACACACACACACACACATGTATGCCACTTATTGTGAAATTTTATTAATTTTCTACTCGTTCAATTTGAAAATGGAAACAAATTTGAAAATTGTTGCCCAATTTGTAGTTTTATCACAAACAAAAGCTTTGTTTTCTGCTTTTATTTTAAATTTTTATTTTTATTTTTATTTATTTTTTTTTTGTGGTGCTGCTGCTTGTTGTATTACCGCAGAAAGTGCTGGCAGTCATAAAACGAATGTCGACACAGCAACACCAATACACACACACACTCTCCTACATACATAAATACAGTGTCACGCCCTAAGGCAGTTCCATGCCACCTCCCTCAACTGCGATATCGTCCAAGTTTATTTTTTTTGGTCATATTATTTTTTTTCTATATATTTTTGTTTTTCCTCATTTCGCCAAAAGTCAAACACGGAAAATTTATTTATGGCGCTGATATGGCAACGCCAGCAAAGTGCAGCTGGGCGCCGCTAGGTGGACGGCGTGGGCGCGGAGGGCATGGTCGTCTAGCATTTATGGCGGCGTTTAGAATTTTTCAACTGTTGCGCAAGGCATTTTATGAGGCAACCGAGAGCCAAAACACTCCCCAACCCACCGAAACGAGAAAAACTGTAAGGAAAAACGCATAAATTTTATGACTGACTGAACGGTGGGTGGACAAAGAGGGAGCTGTTGCACTCAAATAACTGTATAGACCGCATTTTCACACAAAAAGTGCGCCGAAATTTTCAACTAAATTATTCATTGAGCGCGCAATTGAGCTGGAAATGTGAACACACACCATGTGTGTTAGTATGTGTGTGTGATTGCTGGTGTGTGCGGTTGTGCGAGCCTGCAAGTGCAGAGTGTGTGTGTTTGTGTGTGGTTTGATTGTCTCCTTGCCTGCTCGTTGGCACTGTCTGGGCACGTAGAATTGTCGGCTGTTTGGCTTCCTGGTCGCTGGGGCAACTGAGCACATTAAAATAAAAGTAAGAAAGAACAGTTAACGGCAAAGTGCAGGCAATTGGATACACTTATCTCTCTTAGCCTACAATGTGTTATAAAAATTATTCAAGTGAAAAAGTCAATAATTATATATTTTGTAGAAATAAAAATTTATAACATTTAAGACCTATATTTAAATCATTTCATCTTAATAATTTATTATTTTTATATAGTATTCTATTTCTCATAATAAATTAAAGTTCTCAATAAATATTTAAACTCCTCCGTTTTTAGAGCTCTTCAAAGCTATGAGCTCTCAGTTAAATATTTATATATATTTACTTTTAAGCCTAGAAATAGTGCTGCGGAGTGTTGCAAACGCTGTCACGACAGCGACGTATCCTCTGCTCATTTAGAGCAATACAAAAGAGAAGAGTAGAGCAGGCAGTGCGATAACTCTAGTCGTGCATGCTACTCAACCACTTGACACTTTGTTGCCGGCCCCACGGCTACATTTAAACCCACACTCACACATACACGCACACACACATACTCATATACACACATGCACAAGCAGAGGGAGACAATAAACGAAATTGTTTTGGCGGCAGCTCGATGCATATGCAAAATAGTAAAATAGGCGCTACAAAGCTGTTCTAGCATTAGCTTTATCGCTTTTTAAAGCAACTGTTAGCTACAGGATGCAGCAATACAAATACCATGAAAGAGCTGTAGTGTATCAAGGAGTTGACATATTGAGCAGGGTAGTTAGATAGATAGCTATAACTACAAGTAAATCGATCTTTATCGATTCTCAAAATATGTTAATGGGACGGTGTTACACTAATACATGTCAAGGCGTTGATATAGTCCTTAGGGTATCATTAGCAAAGGAGATCTGAAACGTATCAAGGATATGACATAGGCGACACGGTCAACAGAGTATCAAATCGATATTTATCGACCATCGAAATGCGGTATCCACAATCTATATTATGAAAAATGAAGACAAATAATTTATTTTACATTTTGCTCACATTTAATACAATTTGAAAGAGAATATATATTCATTGCACAGTATTTTTTCGTAAGCTCCTGGCATAAAGGATCAATACAATCAATTTATATATAAAGAAGGCTGTTCAAAAATGATTTTTTTAAATATGAAAGTTCTGCCCAAGTCATAGACATACCCAGAAACAAAGCGAGTATCACGTCAAACTCCCAGTTCACCGTATATATAGACTTAACCAAGTGTACCATGAGCAACAGGAGGTAAAATATAGCACACAGGGACACAAATACGAAGGATGCAATATACATTTTTAAATAGAATAAATTTTCCTAAAAGCAATGTTTCGTATTAATGACAATAATAAATGCAGGTATCTCGATGCGTTCATTACCTTGCAGAGTACGTATATGAGACAGAAACTAAGGAACAATAGCAAAGTGGCGAATGTTGTGGAAATTCCAAGTGAGACTCCGGTATCATCTAATTAAAATGAATGAATTAAAGGCAAAAATGAGGTCAATTCATTTCCATATACATACCTTTTACAATCACAATGTATACTATGAGAACTGCGAATATTATTTGTAGAGCAACTGAAATGCAGCAAAGGATGCGATATAGCGCACGACCTGACTTCACACAATCCATCCACTCACACCAACACATAGTGACTTGATAATTGTATATATTTTATATTTGAAGGCATTTCCTAAGCTTTGTTTTTATATACTTTCATATCAGTTGATGGTAAGGCGCAGAAATCTGTCGTTTCAAAATAAATTTCAATCCATACAAATTTCAAATGCATTTTCCTTTTTTCCCTTAAATTTTTTGCAGAATACGAAACCAATTGCGATACCCGACCCCAGGGCGGATTCAAGCTGGGTAAGTTGCGGTTGGAGGTATTCGACAAAACAAAATCTCGCATGCATAAATTAATTAAAGCCTTTTTTGTTGCAAATCAGACAAGGGAATTTGACACACCTCTTGAATTGGATATGCGGGCGGCTGTAGCAGGGGCAGCTTAATTGCGTTTGCTAGTTGAAAGGTTGAGGGGTTGTAGTTTGGGATGGGCTCGTGAGTGCTGTGGGTGTGTTAACTGACGTGATTTGCTGGGCATTTGTTGCTGGAGCGACCACACGGCTGTCTGATCAATTTGCTGCGACCTGACAGATTGAGGCAGCCTTAGCACTAGCAGCAGCAGTAGAAAATGTCATCGTCGCATCCTTCCGTATCCTTGCGCCCTCACATCGGCTCATAACTCAGGGCTCACCTCCTTCCAATGCTGGCGAAAAGTGCAAAACTCATTTATCAAATGGCCAGCACGCTGACCTGCAGCTGCACCAATGGCATTGCCACAAAAAGTGCAACAATTGCTGTGGCGCCACTTTCATACACACAAAAATAAAAAAAGAAGAAGAAATCCAGAAAGGAAAATAAAAGAGGCGCCAAGAGGCAAGAAAAGTGCCCCGCCCCACACGCCCAGCCATCGTTCGACGAGCAGCCCCGTTCAGCTCTTGGCTGCCAGAACGCACTCATAAATCATAAAATTCCATGCAGCCCAGCAGCAATGGCGCCATCGTCATCTTTATAATCTGGCAAGGCGTCTGTCCCTCACTGCTCCCCTCTAGCCAGTGCCGGTGCCAGCGCCTGTGCCAGTTCCAGTTCAGTAAAGGAATCGGCTCTGCATTGGTTCTATGTGGGTGTAACCGCTGGACTATGATGTTGCAATTTGTAGCTGGTAAAGTGTGAAATTGCGTTGGCAACGCGAATTGTTTTTCTTTTTCCTTTCAATTTGCTTTTTTTTTATTGTTTTTTTGTTTTAGTCAACTGTGTGTGGCAAGCCCCCTTCACACACACACACACACAGCAAATGAACTGCCGCTGGGCTTTACGGCAGGAATCTGTTGAAGTTCCGCATCTTTAGGCAACGTATACCTGAGAGTTACGTCAACATTTCCTTTCTTACTAATTTATTAAGTCAACTATAATTTCTACACTGTGCAAAATATTAATGAAGTAGTCGATCAATCGAAAAGAATATTCTGAATTGATAACAAATTGACACAAATTAAAAATTTAAATTCGCATTCGAATTCAAAATTGGGTTCGCCGAGCAGCAAGCATTTTATAAACACACTAATTATTTATAGACTGAGTTGACTAGTAACTTTAGTATATATATATATATATATATATGCTATCGACTGACTTTAAAAAATGTTTTAAAAATAAGCAATTTATGCAGACATTTTAAGTAAAATGAATGCACAAATAAATCAATTAGCTACGAACAACTACGAGGTCCATTTAAGCTTGAGTCACCTGAGCAAGGATCTACGGCTCGCAGCCAAACCCGAGCCCGAACCCGCACCCGGACCCGCACCCGTACCACGCACGAGTGTGAGCGTAAACTGTTGTCCTGTACGCGACGGCTAATTGATATAAACGACTGTCTCCGACGCGTCGGTTCGTAATGCCAGCTGAAAACCTGCGCAGCTTTCACTGACTTTGTCTTTATGAAAATTTATGCGATGCCACAACGAAAGTTGCAATTTTTTAGTTTAATTTTAATTTTTCTTCTTTCTCTTTTATTGTTTTGAGCCATTTGCCTAAAGTTTTTTCCGAGCGAAAATGCTCAAGTTGCGAACAGCCGGCCGCAGCCTAATGCAATTCAGGACATTTATTTGCACCTGTCGCTGGCTGCCTGGCGGGCTGGCTGCCTACTTAGGTTAAGCGATGCCTTCCACTAACTATGGAAACCACTGACATGCAACAGAATTTATAATCACACACACTCGGAGAGTGACAGAGGCACACACACAGCACTTGCCACACCTGAACGATAAAAACCCACAAATTTTGCGTGCGCTAGTTATGAGGGCGGTGTCGTCGCCGAGTGGGCGTGTCGATTGCATGAGCCCGAAACTCTGTGCATCCATCGTTGACGTTGTCTGGCAAAGTGCGTGTCTCGATTTCTACATAATTAAACTACATCAGCCATGCCACTTGCCGTGGTACATGTTGCACTGCCTCCTCCAGCAGCTGGGACCGGCACCGTCACCCGCCCGTTGGGCTTTGGTTACGTGTGCGTGGCGCCACCACTTCCGGTTTGCGCCGGCTGTGTCCGGACGACCGGCAACGAGCACCAACAACTTTGCCGCTAAACTTTTAATGCACGTGCATTGGCCAACACGAGCAAGAAATACAGCGAGAGAGAGAGAGAGAGACAGAGAGTGAGAGAAAGAGAGGGAGAGTGAGAAGGAAAGGGAGCGTTCAACTATGAGACTGACAGCCAGGGGCCAGGAAGGCTGACTTTTGGGTAACGGATTGTGGTAGCATTGGGTGGCATTCCGTTGCCAGCAATTGACATGGTAAGCCGGCTAGGCGACAAAGTTGTCAAAAACGTTTTCAGTTGATGCTTAAGGCGGTATTTGTAATGAAATCTAAATTATTTTTTATTTATAAAAGCAGAAAAAATATAAAAATAGAGTTGAATTAAAGAAATTTAGTAAGTATTCGTTCTGAAGATTTTAGTAATACATTAAATTATCTTAAGGAGTGTCATACCTTGCCCTGAGTTCTAACTATTATATATAACAACATACGTTATATTTTTTATTTGAACTTAACATTTTTTATTAATCGGAGCATTAAGTAAGAGCAGCTTTTAAAGGACTAGTTTCATAATCAGATTATGTCGGCTGTATGTTAATGTAAACCAATATTAGAAATTTATAATATATTATTCAATGACTCCCTGAACTGAAAACACATTATTTATTAATGAATCATTGCATCATGTAGTAGATTACCGTAAAAGTGTGTCCAGCTCGACTTTGACACTTTTGTCGGGTGTCACAGTTCTTATAACATAGTTTGTGCTTACGTCTCTGCTAGTGCGTGTGTGTGTGTGTATGTGTGCGCGTTAGTTTTGTATATTGTTGTTGTAACTGCGTCTGCCTCGTTTGCACGAAAATTTGTTGGAATTATTTCGAGCAGTTCTAAATTTCGCAATAACGAGCCGCATTTGACGGGCATACAAATTGCATGCCTCTGTCCTGAAACTGGAGCTGGGTCGCTTTGTTAAAGGCAAGTCAAGTGTGTGCATGTGTGTATGTGTGTACATGTGTATGCGTGAGATTCTCTGCTGCTTTCAACTTTCTTGGTCTGGGCCTCGTTTCGCACAGGCCACTGCTGCGGGGCAGCCAAGTTACTGGCCGGGATTTGCTGCTCAAAATTTGGCCAAATTGCAGATAGTACATAATTAAATAGCTTAAACATGCCACCAAGCCAGACTAAGACAACAATACAACAATTTAACTAGCACCATCTTTCCAAAGATTTCTGCAACTTGAGTAGCAAAATATTTGTGCAAACTTTCCAATTTTTGAACATATCCTTGTCTTTTTGCTCTCTTTTTTTGTGTCCTCTGCTTTGCCCTATTCTTGGGCAAGCTCTTTTGGCTTTTTTTTTTGTACGGAAGCAATCTTTTTGATTTAGCTATGGAGCCATTAACACGGATTGATTGCCCCCAAGGACAAGAGACGCCAAGTGGCTTAAAGGACGAGCGCCACAGCTTCAGCTTCAGATCCAGCTTCAGACGATTTTGGTTTTAGATAGTAGCGGGCAGGGAATTGTGGGCGAAATGTTTTGTGCGCGTGCAGAGAAACGAGAAAGTCGCCTTCTCCACTTTACTCATTGGCATCATTTGCCTTAGCACTGCGCCTGCTATTGTGGCCGTCGTCCCCTGACATTTAACAATTGATTTTAGCTGACTTGCCTATATATAAACATATATATGTCTTGTGCAAAGAGTATGCTGTTCGAATCTGCAAGCAGTGAATATAAATAAACTCTTAATTCTGATTCATTGATTTAAGATGCAAAAATCTTTCTTTACAAATATTTCATGAATATATAAGGAAAATATATAAATAAATACTTATATTTATATATAAACACACATAATAAATATATATTATTATCGTTTATTTTTCAATATTTTTATTTATTTATATTCCACTATATTTTCATCAATATAAAAAAGAACAAAATGTCAATAAAATGCATAAAGTTTATATTAAGTATAAAATATTTCGTTCCATTGTCACAGGCTTTATATGCAATCATATTGGTTTAAAATATAATTTATTCAATAATACAGTAAATTATATATAAGAAATTATTAAAATTTATTATTAAGTGATTTATTTGGAAAATAAAAATCGACTATTCGAGGGCAAAACTGCATCTGCCTAATTGATTGAACTTTTATATGCTCAATGAAATTATTTAATAATTTATTATATTATTACGGACTTGGCTTTCTATGCACTATAGATTAATCATAAATTCCAAAATATTATCTCAATGTTTTGACGCAAAACTCTTTAATCTATTTTGTCCAAGTTCAACAGGTAATGCAATTTTGTGCACATTATTGACATAAGACTTTTACTTTTTTACTCTGATGACTATGAAACATAAATTGTTTATGATATTTTGTTATAACAGCTGTGAAATTGTGATATAATAGTATTTTGTATGCATTAGTTGTAGTAGCTATGGCCTATTGCTGCTGAAACTTATCGATTAAACAATCGAAATGCAGAAAGCCTCTGAACTTTAGTTAAGCAGCTACTGCTGCATTGCCTCTCTCTCTCACTCTCTCTCGCTTTCG